TTTTCAAAAGCAGTATTTGTAATTTTCCTAACATTTTTATACTCTAATAAAATTTGTTTGTAAGAATTCACAATTACTAAATGAAGAGAAAATATAAAATTGGGGGACTAATTGATATCCTGATTTTTTAAAGGAGAGCGTTTTCATTTTTTAATGTGATATGATCTTACTTGGACAGTAGACTGGAGAGACGCTCCTTAGCCAACTGAAAGGTTGATGTAGCGTTAGGTTGCCCATCCGGGGTGAGGCTGGTGAGCTCTTTCTTTAGTCCCTTTAGTTTACAATTTAGAGTTGTGTTTGTAGCTCTTAAAAATGTGCTTATGCCTTTAAAAAATGTTTAAAATGTGACCTACATTCAAAACATTGCAATTGGTTAAAAACAAAATGTGGAAATATTACAACCTAAAAGAATTAATGTCACAAGTATTTTATTGGGGGTGATGTGCCTTTGATTTAATTGGGGGCACTTTTAGAAGGAAAGTTTGTGTTTATAATAACCTTTGAAGAACTTGGAAATAAAATTTTTGCCTAACCATCATTTTTCATGACAGCAATATTTTGCATTTGATTTTGTCTTTTGGGATTCCATGGATTTCTGTTTGCTGCTGAGTCTGAGGGCTGCACACCGTGGGTGGCATTTGGGTTTGAAATCCCTGTAGACTGTCTCCAAAAGTAGATGTAAGCATAACATGAAAAGCAATCCCCAGTTACCGGCCACAGCCACTCTCTGGACTAGCTCTGCATGGCACTCCCCCATGAGTAAGTAAGTGGGAATACAAGACCGTCAGTCGGATTTCAGTGGAGAAAATGGAAGCCCTCCCTTAGCTGAGCCCTCCTTAATTCTAAGCATCATTCCAATATCAGTGAATTGGATTCCATACTAATCATAATTTGGGTGTCCTTTTAAGGCTTCTATTTTCTGTTTAATCTTGTCTGAAATTTTACACTATCAGTATCTTTTTCTTTTTCAACCATCCCTTTCCTATTATTAGCATTATATAGGTTCCATTCTCTATCTCAATTAACAAGAATTTTAATAAGCATTCCAAATTTCCATTAAAAACAAAATTCTCTTTGGATCCACTTTCTCCTTCAGGAACACTACATGAGATAATTGAGAGAAACTATGGACATTATACAGATATAAATGTCCCGAGTGTAAGCACATCAGATCCAGCAGTGCATTAAGAGAAGATGTCACGTGGAAGCTGGTTTAACATAGGGGATCTGCCAGTGTAATTCACCTCGAGAGTCTAAGAAGGGACCCTGGGCCAGAAAGTGAGGAAACATGGAGCTGCTGAATTCAACAATATGATTTTTAAAAATTGAAGACAAATTATGAAAATGGCATACTGAAACCTATTTGTCTGCAAACTAAAGAACAAATGAGTGCTGGTCAATATCTTAGGGGGAATTAGATCACTGTAACATGAATTGCTAAATGGTCTTTAAATAAAAAACCTAGAGCAGATATGGGGCAAATGTTGAAAGATCAGAGAGACAAGGAAACAAGCCTCTGCCACGTCTCTAGGACTCCTCAGCCTGAAATGCCTTAGCCGATCGGCCTCCAGCTGAATGAGCGTCCTCGGCGAAAAGCTTTAGTTCCAGTTTCCTCACCTTATATACCTTTCTCTGCCCACCATATCACTTCCTTCTTAGTGCTGGGGTTAAAGGTGTGTGACTTCCCAAGCAAAGGCATAAGACCTCAAGTGCTGGGATTAAAGGCATGTGCCACCACTGCCTGGCTCTGTTTCTCTCCTAGACTGAGTCAATCTCATGTAGTCCAGGGTGGCTTTGAACTCAGAGATCCAGATGGATCTCCACCTCCCGAGTGGTAGGATTAAGGGTGTGTGCCACCATTTACCTGGCCTCTATGTTTAATCTAGTGGCTTGTTCTGTCCTCTGATCTTCAGGCAAAATTTATTAGGTAATAATATATCACTACTACTCATATTAATTTTTCCTTAAATATATCAGTTATATTAATGAGGGATTATATTAACACATGACTTATCGTGGAACTCGGTACTCTAGGAATTGAACTGAGATGGATTTTGATTTATTTTAATTGTTGCTAGTTTCCATTTGCTATGGTAATCTTTCATTGGAATGTTTGTTCCAGTAAAAGTGAGGTTCTGTAATTTTCTTTTTTGCAGTGTTAGATTTTGGTATTTGTTATATTCATTACAAAACATAGTGTGGAAATATTTTTTCTAATGCTATAGAAGAGTTTAAGTAGCATTAAATTAAATTAAATCTACTCATTAAAAATAAGCCATAGAGCTGGACAGTAGTGTCCCAGGCCTTGAATCCTATCACTTGGGAGGCAGAGGCAGGTCGATCTCTGAGTCTGAGGTCAGCATGGTCTACAAAGTGAGTTCCAGGATAGCCAGGGCTGCATAGAGAAACCCTGACTTGAAAAACAAACCAACAACAAAAAGCTATAGCTAAATTGTTTACAACGGGGTTAGGAGCTTAACACTAAAAAATTTAATCAGTGATAAAAATGTAGGAATCTAAATCTAAGCAAAGTGCCAACACAGTTTAGGGCCCTAAGCTGGTTAAGAAGAACACAGGTTTACATATGGCTTCATCCTGAAAAAAGACCGACATTTGCTTCTGGACTTAACAACACTTTGTGCATCCCATGTAACTGCTGATTCCAACACTTTGTGTGTGAGGAAAGCAACAAAATAGAGGTTATTGACAGAAACAGTGGGGAACTGGGAGGAGAGGGGAGGATGCTGGCTGCTCACCAGAGAACAGCTTGAGTCCACTGAGCCCCTGGGAGCATGCGTGAAGCCTCACCCCAGGCTTGGTGCCTTCCTGCCAAGCACGTTTTAGTGGGTGCAATGCTGATTTCCTTGGCCTTTCCCCGCCCCCCTCTGAGACAAGCTTTCATGTATTCCTGGGTATGTATCAGACTAGCTCTGTAGTCAAGGATCATGGCCTCTTTTTGACTTCGGTGTGCTCAGTTTATGAACTGTTGGGAACCGAACCCAGAGCTTTGTGAATACTGGCAATCCCTGTACCCACAGAGCCACTTCCTAGAACCTTGCCATAGGTTCTTGTGAACAAAATCATGCATCACAAGATGTGGGGTTCATTCTTGCTCAAGTTTTCCCCATATGTATAAATGTTTTTGAGCAAGCTGGAATTGTCCATTTTCACTATGTTATGGACCACTTTCTGTCAGAGCACACTTACTTTCTTTGTAATAGTTTCAAGGTATTCTATACTCTAAATTGTTTACTTTGCCCTCTCTCCTGGTAGCAAGTTGTCTATAATTTTTACCTATTACAAGTAGATTTCATGTTATAATTGATTTAACATAAACTCTTAGTAATATAATTCCTGAGTTAAACTATATAGTCACTTTACATTTTATTATTTAGCAGTTGCCTAAACTGGGCCCTAAAAGGTTGTACAGACAATGTAGGAAAGTAGTCTTCTCTGACATGCTGTCCCTGGGTATCTATTTTCAACATTTTTGTCACTATGATATGTGGTGGTAATCTAATTGTACTGAATTATTATTTTGATTATATGCTAATAAATAAAGTTGTCTGGGGGTCAGAGCTATTAGAGCCATAGCAAGAGTGTGGCGGTGGGGGCACACGCCTTTAATCCCATAAGATCTCTGTGTGTTCAGGGATATAGCCAGCATTGGAGACATATGCCTTTAAGACCTAGGGGGCTGTACATTCAGACAGTGACAAGGCAGTCATGTGTTTGGGTTTACAACCAATGAGAAGGCAGAACAACATACTTTAAAAAAAACGAACCGACAGGAAGTAGGTCTCTTTTCGCGAAGCTGGGACAGCAGGAGGAAGGGTGAGATTTTAGCTCTGAGCTCTGACTTCTCGGCTTTCTCTTTTACATTGTTTCTGTGTTTCTTATTTAATAAGACGGTTGGTTACATCTACAATGATAGGTAAAAAACAGTGGTTGATATAATAGACAATAATCTGTATAATGAAATTGCTTTCCCTAATTGTTTACAAGTTAGTCTTGTTCTGAGAATTATCTGCTCAGATATTTTACTTCTCCTATTAGGTTTCTTTTCCCCTCCAATTTGAGGGGGTGCTTTGTATATTATGAATGTGAGCTTTTCCCACACTTTAGGTTGCAAACATTTCCTTTTGACTCCTGTTTCTACCTTGCTTAGGGGAAACGACATGGAGCTTGTTTGGCTTCAGTCCTGCACTTGTCTGTGGTGTGGTCCTCACTTCTTGCCTCAAATCGTAAGACTGTGATGGGGTGGGGAGCCCAAGAGAGGACTCGGGCTAGGAGTGCTTGTTGCTCCTGCAGAGGACTGGAGGGGGGTTCCTAGTACCATATCAGGCGCTCACAAACACCAGTAACTAAAGTCCCAGGGGCTGTGATGCCCTCTTGTCGATTCCACAGGCACAACACTCAATGTGCACATACCAATACACAGATACACACAATTTAAGTAAAGAAAAATTAAATCTGAACAAAAAAAGACTATGATGGGAACTTCGGGCAGCCCTGGCCTCTGGCTTCCACATGCATACATATAAGTGAAAAAAAAAATCTGAAAAGACAAAACACTTGTGAAGTACACATACATTTGAATACTTTGGGGGGGGGTCTTATGTTTATTAAGCTAACTGACAAATCAGACAGTCAGATTTTGATGCAAGTTACAGGACAGAATATATATTATGAAAATTGGATATATGCTAGAAACACCAAGGACATCTAAAAATAATGGTATTTCCTTTGACGTAGAATCAAACCTAAATAATTGTGTTACTGGATTATCATAAAGTAGAATCTGAGCTGGGCTGTGGTGGTGCACGCCTTTAATCCCAGCACTCGGGAAGCAAAGGCAGGTGGATCTTTGTGAGGCCAGCTTGGGCTATAGAGTGAGATCTAGGAAAGGCGCAAAGCTACACAGAGAAATCCTGTCTCGAAAAACCAAAAAAAAAAAAAAAAAAAAAAAAAAGTAG